AAATGGAAACAAACTAGTTAGAAAAACACAACACATAACTTGTAATGAGGAAAATGAGCGGGTGGTAGATTTCAAAAGATTACTGATAGACCTAAATTAAAAATACAGGATGAAGAGATTACAGGTGTATAAAATTTAAAACATGACTTACTAAAATCAATTCCTATACAAATGTGTGACTACTTTGGAAAAGAAATCTCATTTATGATCTAAATACTCTTTAAATTTTCGTTCTTGAAGAGATAATTCTACTTCCTACTTTTTTTTGTAGCAGTGTCTATGTTCTAGACAAATATGACTATGAAAAAAAATTGTTAGTCACTAAACTGTTTCTCTTAGTTTCCATTCATATTTCCTAGAATAGATATGTCCGGAATTTCGGTTGGTTTCTATTTGCCTTTAATGCCTATACTTTTATAAAAGTAAGCACCTTTCAAAGATTCACAAATGGTAACGGTGCAGCCAATAGATTCCTGATTTCCAACTGACATTTTGATATAGTTTGTGATTAAAATAGAGTACTCAAGAATATTTTTAGATGGTATCCAGGTGTCATTATATCACCTGATTTCCCACAATTTTTGAATGCTATTCTTTCCCATCTATATTTTCACACATTACAGTCAAGTACATGTTGCATGATCCAATGTTATACAGAATTTTCCTGTTTGTTCTTCTAGCCTATATATACCAAACAGCTAAAGCAATAGAAGGAAAAACTGAAGTGCCTAATTTAGTTGGGGTACTTAAGGAAATCTGATTATTCATGTTTTTAAAAAAAAGTGCCCCATAGAATTACAGAAGAAATGAACTTCTGTTTATTCCTCAAGATAGTATCTTGTTGCCTCACTAAGCATTTCCAGACAGATAAGGCTCAAACATTTGTAAAGGGCATTTAGAAAAAACACAACTTCCATTCTAATTTCTAATACATTTCTCCATTCAAAACTTCTTCTTAAGATCTAACCCATATGTCCTAGTCCTCTTTATTAATCCTTGCTTTTCCCACAATGAAGGTTGAGTTTAGTAGCAGGCTGCCATCATCTGAATAAGGATCCTTTGTGTCAGTGAAAACTTGAAATAAAGCACACCTCTACTTCCTTCTTATTAAAGTATTTTATTTATACCTTTATTTATAGGTTTCCTTTATAGTTAGATATTTTCTTCACAAGTCCCAGAGGCATATTTATAAAATTGTAAATACACACTCATTGAGTAAAAAACATAAGCATTCTCAAAATGTTGGGTTAAACAATCATGCTTCAGGCATGACATTTTCAGAATGAAATGATATATACTATTTGAAGGCATAAGCATATATTTCCACTTTAAGAAAAGCATGGGGATTTTGAAAAGATTTAGGAAAAAATAAGCACCATAGAAGCGGATTATGACAACAATGATGCTTATTGTGTTTCTATAATATGCATGGCATACTGAATAGGACATGCTCCTAAGTTCTCAAGAAGTTCATAGTCTATTCAAAAAAAGACATATATTTATATTATAACAGCATAGTTTCTAACTATGTAGGATCAAGATACCAGCCAGGAAAGTCAGAAAGGCTCAAGATGGTAAACTCTAAGCCGAGTTTGGGTCAGGAGAGTCACCAGGCCACAAAACAAAAGTCAAAAATTTAAAGAAAATGAGCATGCTCAAAGACAAAGAAGCATCAACCAGACCTCTTTGGGAAACTGAGAAGTTCAAAGGGTGCAAGCTCCAAGAAAAAGAGCAGGTGGGGTTCTGGAAAGGTAAGAGTTAAAACTGAAATGGGGGGCCCTCCCCTCCCTAGTGGCACAAGGGGTTAGGTAGGACACAGCACTGCAAGCTACAGTGAGAGTTCCAGTTCCCCACTTCCCTCCAGGTGACCCACATGGTAGAGCAAACCTCTCCTGACAAGCCCACTGCTCCCCTCAGCAGTGTACTTCATCAGTCGGCCTGGTCTACTCCCCACTCTGTCTCTGCAGAAAATAAAAAAAAAAAACAAAAACAAAAAACCTGAAATGGTTGGCAAAGTCCAAGTTACAGAACCATGAAGGGGAAAGCTAAAGAAATAGACCTTGTCCTCAAGGAAGTTTAAGGAGAAAATTAACAAGGTCCAATGTTTGTGCTGATGCCACTTTAATGGACTAGAAGGAAAAAACTCAAGGCAAGAACACTGGCAAAAAGATAAGTCAAGGCAGAATTTGTGTGTGAACTAAGGTAGACTAAGGTAGTGAAACAGAGAGAATACAGGCCATTTAATGGAGATATTTTGAAAAGGTAGAGTTGACAACTTGGTCAACAATTATGAGACTTTGGTGCCAAATTAAGAACTGAAAATTAGGACCTTTCTGGAGTGCAGCGGGTTAAAGTACAGCACTATGAAGCTAGCCACAGCCACTTTCAGGAGAGTTTGATCCCAGCAAGGGCTCTGACCCACGTGGGACAGCAAACCTCTCCTGTCTGGACAGCTGCTCTTCTTAGCAATGTGCCTCCTCAAATCTGCTTGTTCTGCTCCCTACTCTGTCTTGGTGAATTCTCTTACTGCCCCTACACCTCTGTCTTGTACCCCAGTTCTGTAAGCATAAATAATTAAATCTTCAAAAAAAAAAAAAAAAAACCACCCTGAAAATTAAATTGATTTAATTTAATTTTTGAAGCTTGGAAGACAATATTGTAAAGTTAGAAAGGCAACAAATGTAGAAAAGCAATGTTGGTCAGGAAAAATAATGATCTTAATGTTGGCCTTGCTAGTGTGAATTATCTCTAGAGCATTACAGTGAATATCAGGGTTGTCTGTCTAAAAGGTGTTTCTTGCCAACTCTCAGCTGACGGTGGAGGGGGTAAGTTCAGAGTTATTGCAATTTTCTAAAGTGCACAAGGATACAAGTGCTAAATCAAGATAAAGCCTGGAGACCCTGGCTAAGGATAACAGTGGAGCAGACAGCTCTCCACAGAACTATACTGACTTTAGCAGTCAACAGTCAGTGTCTATTTAAACTTGGAGTCATGAAAATTAAGTAAAATTTAAAATTCATTCCCATTAGCCACATTTCATATAATTAATGGCTAACGTAGTTAACTGACAATTATATAAACAGTAGATATAGAGATGATGATATCATAGAAAGGTCCGTGGGACAGAGCTGCCATGGCAGGTGTCAAAAAAGAGGAAAGAATTTGGGGATAGAACCCAAGAAAGAGAAGGGAGGGAAAATGAGTTAAGTGAGGAGTAATTAATGGAATACAAAGCAAAAAGAAAAATCATGCCACTGTGATAAAGAGCAGAGAGGTCAAGGAGGCAAAATAATCAAGGTTAAACTGAAGAAGCACAACAAGAAGAACAAAAATAAATAAATAAATAAATAAATAAATAAATAAATAAATAGCCTTAAATGGTTATTTTACCTTGATATTTGGTATAGTATTGGTGCCATTACCCATTTCTTCAGGTGCAAAATGACTCAATGAGCCTAATTCTCCTACTCAGATGGCAGTTCTTTTAGAAAGAACTCAAGTAACCCACAGAAAAAAATGTTGGAAAGATGGCCATACTTGGATGAAAAAGGAGAGGCCTTGATCCTTAACCATCATCCTTCTCTAAGTTTCTATGAGCCCTTAATTAAGGTTTCTATCATTGCTGAATAAGTTTCTTCACATCACGTGTCTAATATCTGTATTGTGATATCAAACAACATACAAAATTCTCCTTTGGATCAAAAACAGGTTAACAGAACAGTTACTACCAGGAAGCTGGTACTATGGGGGACGGCAGTTATTTTTTAGGTAAACACAGATTTTCAGTATGACAGTTTTGGAGCTAGAAGTATTGATGCTGGCACAACAATATGAATATACTTAGTGATACTAACTACACGTTTAAGATGTTTAAAGTAAATTTCTAGTTATGGATATTTTACAACCAGAAAAAAAATTTTTTTTTAAATGAACCTGAACTTAAGGGTAAGAGTCTGGAAGAGAGGTTTCATTACCCTTGACACCTAGGGAATTTGGTACAGCAAACAAATGAAAACAACACTGGTCACGAACATCTGGTACTCAAAATAACATAGATACTTATATCGGATTTATGATATTAGGTGTGAAAATATGGGTTTGATAAATTGTAATACATGAAACATCTCTTGTTGCTGTTGATAGCTTCTTGTAAAACTGTCAATGGTCTGGCAAAATGAAACAAGTTACAGTTTAAATGGTGCTAACTGAACAAAAAAAAATGTTTTAGTTCAGTTTCATAATTGAGATGGCATTTATATTCTTTTCTTTACTATTTGTACCTCAGGTCAATAGCTGCCATTAGCTAGTAAAATGGGAAAGCATAAATATCAGAAGTAAACCCTAAGGCAACCATGTTTGTACAAGCAAAATGTTCCCCAGTGCAATTAAGGAAGTGCAAGTATCCCATGAATCACTCTTCATGTTGCTCTGACAGTCAGGCCCTGGAGCCAGGCTCAGGGAAGGGAACAATGAAGAGATCCTAAGCAAAGACAACAGTCACTTCCATCCGTGCCCTTGCAAGCAGGAAGCATGAAACTACAAATTAAATCAAAACAGGTGATGAGTATATAATACATATATAAAAAGTTTAGTCCAGGATTTTTATGTTATACTGTAAATAATCGCCTCTGGACTTTTACTACTGTCTCCATCAGCATCCAGACTCTTCCTGGTAAAAGTACTAAAAAACTGGGAGTAATCACTTGCACATTCATGGATCACACCCTGTTTCTTCTCCAAGGAAATTAACAAAATACAGAGAAAAATACAGGCCCATTTCTAAAAACGTACATAGTTTTCCTCGGCTACTATTTGGAGCTCTGTTCAGATCATTTAAGGATTCTACTCATGTCACAACCTCAGAGAGTCACCTCATGACTATAAATTAAAAAGGCACTGACACAATGCATGGACAGACACTGCAAGTGGAAACCAAACAGAGAGAAAGAAGAAAACAAGAAAGAGAAAGAAAAATTAGAGATGAGTCATACTATACTTACAACTTTCAGCCTGATAGTCTGGCACAAACTGCTCATCATTGTCAGGTACCTGAGCTGAAGAAAAAAAAAAATTAAAAAAAAAATTAAGAGAGAAACTGCCAAGGCATAAGGAATGTCAAGCAAGATCTTTCAAATAAGATCTTTTTAGGCTGAGATCAAATCTTATGATTATTTGCCAATAAGCTCCTATTTAAAATGGTATTGACAGCAAATCTTAGGAGGGGAAAGAGAAACAATCAGATCATTGATGTCAATTAGAAAATATATATGTCAGGAACATAATGGTGGCAGTTGGAGTCCCTCTGAATTTCACTTGCCAGATGGAAGTAAAGAGACAAAATAAAAGAAGCTACAGGATTTCCATTAGTTGCCGGGTTTCTTTTTGCAAGAAGGGAGTGAAAAAGATTTTGAAACCCACTTCCAGAGCTTAAACAGTCCATGTAAATTAACCACACTGTTCTTTCAAGTGATCTGCAGTTATCACAACCTGATACTTTTGAAATGCCTGCTTTTATAAGTTTGGTCTACTGCAAATTAGATTACCACAATTAAAAATGTTCACAATAAATTTGGCCAAAATATGACACATTTTTTTAAAAACTGAAGTTGATTTGGGTTAGCCATAGTAAAAAATTATATTCCAGTGTATATGATGAGAATAAATAAAAACAATAAATCATACAAATAAACCACATCTTTTTGTGCAAAAAATATTTTCCTGGCAACTCTTCAGCATTAACAAAAAGAGTATCACTATTTTATGAGTCCTAATGTCAAATGACTTCCCTATTTTTAGTAAAGGAAAAAAATGCTCAATAGCAAAGACTTAATGCATTCTGCAGCAATCAAAACACAAGTAGACTTTTTTACTTCTAAGATATTTCCATCATGGTTGATTTAGACACCAAAATAACTTATTCCAAGTTGACAGAATATTACAAAATGCATTTTCACATGTAGAAGTAAATACACTCATATACATACAAAGTGCATAAAATAGAAGTTAGGCTTCTTTTAATTTGGTGAAAATACGAGTTATCATCCTAATTAACTCTAGGAATCACCTGATTAGATAACATTGCCTAAAGTTTCAATACTGAAACTTTACCCAACCAAATCATATTAAAGCAGATGTCAACTGTTTTTTAAAAAGAGCCTATTCTATATAGAGACTGCATATTGAAATAACAAGTCTCTGTTAGAAAAAACTTTGCATATGGTAATTTAAAGAGGTAATAAAAAGTCTATATAGAAAAAAAGGTACATAAATTGTTATGTAAAAGGAATAAAATGTACATAAAATGAACAGTTCTACTTATCAGCTTGTTTAATAGTAATTTAAAAATCAGAAATATTTGGCTGAATGCATTATGTAAATAAGAACAGAAGCAATGATAATCTTGATTAAAATATATACAATCTGATAATCAACTGTTTCTGAACAATTTTCTTCTATACATAATACTTATGCTCACTCAAGACAAATTCTATCCTCTGCCGCCAAGTGAAATGAAACAAATTGTGAACTACTTTCCAACTTAAAATGTATGCCCATTTGACCAGCCTACACTACAAGAGTTTTTCTCTCTTTGTATCACACTATTAGTTACATATGGTACAGGCAAACTTCAAACTAGAGTTCTTTTATGATTTACTAGCTTTGTAAAATGTGTGACATTATTTAACTTCTTTGAACTCCATCATACTCATCAGTTTAATAATAAAAATACAGGGGATTTTTTTTTTCTGGTGAGCATTAAATGAAATAGTGTAAACACAATCCCAGACACACCCAAATACTTGAGAAACATCACTTACTTTCTTCTTTCTAGTCCCCTTATGACCTTTCCTTTCTTTTCAATTCACTCCTTCAATCGCTACGTGTTTAATAGCTTCACTTCTAATGAACTATATTGTAAAGGGATAAAAGTAGCAGCTAAAAAATACATACACTGTAATCCTATTATCTAAAAACATTTTTTGATTTTGTGGTAAATATAATTTTTTCTCATACTGTGTATGAAGTAGGTGAATATTCCTTAAATGTTCACAAGAAAATTTTGTAATAAAAAAATCACAAAAATGGCTTTAATGGCTATTTAATAAGTAACAGCAACCAGACAGGATTAAATCCTACATTTTTTTCTATCATGGCCACATTAGATATCTGTTTATAGCTAAACAGATATAATAATTGTTGAAATGCAAAAGTATCAGCCACAGCAATTACTATGCTTTTAAAAAGCCAACATTTACAAGAATCTAATAAAAATGTAATACCCCTTTACAGGAATAGTCAAAAATAGATGGTGAGTAACAAAAGTATATTAGTAACTGAATATGCGGATACGTGTGCAAGACCAGAGTATTTTGTGCCCTTACTATCATAAGACAAAGTTGCAAATCATGACATACATCATTGCAAGAAAGACTGTAGAATGTGTGTGTTTGTGCATGCGTGTCTGTATACATGACTGTAGAAAGAAAAGCAAAACTTCAGGAGCAGAAGAAACTACAAGTTATACCTCACAAACATAAAAAAAAAAAAACCCTGCATACTAACAATTTGTAAAAAGAATAAGAATCATTTTAAGAATTGCTATTTCTGTTCTAACTCCTTAACATACTGAATAAATAGTTCACACTTATGCCTGAACATATTACAGAATTTTAACAAAAAACATATGACTCACATTTTCACAGAAGCTAATCTTAAGAAACTGGATAGACCAAATGAAGCAGTGTGCTACTTAAATAGACAGTCTTAAGTATACCTTTAATTTCAAGTTAGAGTAAAAGGAAAGCAGTTAACTAAAAACACAAGTTGGATCTGGGCAAGAAATATGTGACAAAATACTGCCACACTCATATCATATATGACATTTTTTCCTCAAATCACAGGAATTCTATAAAGTAGCAATCTCAAGCTGCATAAAAATTTGTGGTATGATATATACTAACGCCAAAGGGAAAAATTAACAGTAAAGACCAACCTAAAACAAATGTTTTTTTCACTCCTTTCTATTATAAATTATGCTTGAAATAATCACCTTTGGGGAATGAAAATGCTTCCCCACACTATGTAATTAAAGAGGAAGGGGAAGAGTAAGAAAGATGAAGGGGGAAAAGTATATACCAAAAGACCAATAAAAGGCTTTCAAGAAGATTAAGCATGTGGATTTTATTGGTAATAGCTGGAACGACTCTGACAGTTCATTGCACATTAATAGACAAGTTGCCATCAAGTCTCAGGACTTTGGCTTTAAAAGGCTAATATCTGCACTCTCAGCTACTTGCCTTATGTAGATTATTTCCAGTTTTTTTCCTTCTCTCTCTTTTGACTGCATAGCAAAACAAGTATGAGAAACTCACGAAAATATTAATCAGGATCTACGCATCATAGAATTACTAAATTAATATTTTAAATTTCAATATAGCCTCGGAACAAACATTTCGGGTGGGGTGGGCAATAATGACATAATTTGTTATTATTTTATACTTCTTTTAAAGTTTCAAATAAATTAATCATAACTTAAGATGAGACATTTGAATATTTCTCAAGGTTAACTACAGGCAATTAACTGTCTCCTTCTTTGCCAAGTAGGTGCCTGTTGGATTTTCTTTTAAAGCTAGGAAAAAAGTAAAAGATTTACAAATGAAACAAAAGTCAAGTAGAAAAGGGGTTAATATTTAATTAAAACCAGTTCTATCCACTGTAACAATGACCTGGAGCCAAGCAAGGCGGAAGATGTATGAGTCATTCTTTCTGCCCGTGAATGAGACAGCTGATCTCCTCAGCAATTCCTCCAGACAAGCAGGCAGAACTGGAGTTCTGCCTCCATTCACAAAAACACAGTCCAGCGTGAGCCATGTGGGCCTAACCACAATCTTTTCATGTCACACCCTTTCAGAGAGCTAAAGCAAGTCAACTTGAACTTACAACATAAACACACCAATTTTAATACTGTATCTCAAACACAATTCAGATCCACGAAGGTACATGTTTAAATAAATAGCAATTTACAAAATTAAGTATACTAACCCACTCTGCTTTCTAGGGCATCTCATCAGAGTAACTTGGGAGAAAAAAAGGAAGGAGAAAAGGAAAGAAGGCAAGGGAGGGAAGTAAGGGGGAAATGTTTAAGAAAAGCTGTCTTTTTCCTGCCTACTATTCAAATTTTCTTTATTTAGATTGTAATAGATTATTGCTGAATTTTGAAGCATTTCACTTGGATCAACGGGCTGGACACAAGTTGCTCTGAAGAAATTTACATTTGATTTTAAATAAAACAAGTTAATCATCCATTGCACAGTGGCTTTCTGTTTAATCCTGCAATGAAGCTTCAGGCCACGGAACAAAATAATCATGAGGCCACTAAGCCTCGTTGTATACCACATCCACTTTTAACATTAAAATGATTGTACCAAAGTGTAAGCATCAATTAATGCAGAAGCATAAACATATTTTAAACAGCCCGAAGAAGGAAGTTATTTCACTATGACAGAAACTTCTTTAGCACTGATAAAGACATTCTTTTCATGTGCTCAGAAAGAAGGAAAATAATAGTTCTAGTTGTCCTTAGTTCAAATCAGCTTCAATCCCAAACTCTGAAGTGACCTATAATGACTGAAAAACTTAAGTATAGCTCAGTGCTGCTGTTTGTTTTCCAGAATGCTACAGAGCTCTGCTATTATTGTTGCATTCTTCTTATTATTATTAAAGGCCAGAAGTTATATTACTGAAATTCAAAAGCATATGCTTTTCCTGTAACTGAGCTAGAGAAACTCAGCAATATTTCATTTGTACTTGGTCAAGCCCTTTGAGAAACTATACCTAGCCTAAACCAATTTCAAATTTCACTTAAAATTTTTTTTTATTTTGCAAATAAATGTTTCTAAATAAAATATATTATCAGGAAATCTTTAAATCTAGTTCAAATGAGAAGTCTTTCATATTTTGAAGTATTTCCTGGCACAACAAAAAGAGGGGCACTTCCCCTCCCCCCTCACACATCTCTACACACACACACACACACACACACACACAGGACTCTTGCCCTATTTTAAGAAATAGTGAGAATGTTTGTAATTTAATACTTAATTCTCAGTTCTTCTTTATGTAAACCAAATGAAGCATTTTCTAAAGGCTTTATTCTTTCCTACATCATACTTAAAAAAAATTCATAAACACATATCCAATTTTATGTTCCATTTCAAAAAAGTGTAACTTTGGAAAAATTAAAATAAGTGCATGATAACTATTGTATATTGCAGATGGTACTATGTAGCAATAGCAACTACTAAAGAATTTCTTATAAATTTAATATCAGCCACTGAAATGAAATGAAGTGATACAATAACATCTCTACTTTTAAGACAACCTACTATTTGAAGGTTATGTTAAGCAAAAAAGAAAAAGCCTTATTGCATGAAGTAATAGCCTTTAGCTTAGAAAGAATGTTCTTAAGAGATAAAACTTTGATTCAGTTTTGGTGGCAAATATGAAACTTGACCTTCCACCTCAGTATGTCTTAAAAATATTATGACCTGACAATGGCGAATCATTGTGGACATTTTTCCTTAATACTACTGATGAAATGTTACCTCAAGAGCTTCTAACCCACATGAAAAGTAATCACAGAAAGTTGTTCCATATTTATATTAAATGCGCGGAAAGTGTATTATTTCCCGTTAAGGAAATCAGTAGGTAAGCATCAATAAGCAACTTTGGAATGCAATCCTTTTAAACTCAGTTTTACACCCTGTTACTACTGATTTCTCACACACTAGAGAATCCATTTTAACTATTATTTCTAGGACACTATTCACTAAAGCACAACTTACAACAGGTTTAAGAATAACATGTTACCATAATATTGATAGGCTTGACATTTGAAATCATTATTACATGGGATCAAATAATTAAAATTGCCTTTCTGTCAGTAACCTTCTAATTCAAAAGACAAAGAATCAATAAAGGATGTTACATAGTAAAACCACAATATAAAGTAGCTATGGCAAAATGTAAAATAGGTATATCCTCTCATCTTTTGTTACTGCTGTGATGACTGAAAATATTAGCTTCTCAGTTTTATCAGTATAACACGTGATTAATAAAAAATTTTAAATGATTATTTTAAATTATATTACATAAAGTGAAATAAAAGTAAAAATATTATTTAGATTACAGCATTAGTACTTTGACAATGAGCTTAATATAAATTATATTCTTTAAACAATTCCAGACCCTGTCTGGAATTTTGAGGAGCGAAAGGAAGTATATTTTTATAGGACTTTAGTAAACTGAAGATACTAATTCCATCCCCACCCTTAAGTAGCTCTCACCGCCTTATCTATCACAACTTTACTGGAGACATAAAACACATTTCATAATTCATACTAACATATCTATGGGCATGTTGCACTTTGGGTCTGATTACATTAATTTTTACAAGAGAAAAAGAAATTAAACATTCTAGAAAACCTCATTTCTCAAGTAATTAGGGATTTTGATAATTTTTTAAAACACAATTTGCATATGATACACTACTAATTTGATCTTCATGTACATGATTTTTGAACATATTCAACTTCCCATTATAACTGGATTCTACCTTATGAGAGAAAACTTGGTTAATTATCAGTGATCTTTTTTAAAAAGGTCAAAATGCGTTAAAATTCGACGGTCATTTTCTTGGCCACGAAGTATTAGGAAAAGAAATATGTCAAGGGTTCGGTTGCCAATTTAGCAATATTTTACTTTTGGATGTTCAAAAGAACATAAATGAACAAACCTGATATGAATAAACTTGCATAATTTTCAGATCCTCTTATTATTTTTCAAGATGTGGGGTAGGTCAGTTAAAAGTGATAGTACAAAATAATATAATTATATGTAATTGCTAAAAATTAAAAAATGCAGGCTATTAATGAATAAAACCTCTCTTTTCCCTATCAGATTTTAAAAATCTTATTAACAATTTTGTTTAAATCATGATAGGATTAATTAGTGTTAACTGTATTGGAAAATGCTTGAATTCTTCTAAAATACAATTTTAGCCAGAGTTTGTAAACCACAACCCACCTGCGTGTTCAATAAAATTCTCCAAGGATTAATTCCTGAACTTATTTAAGTTTATCAATTCTTTTCTAAGTTCATTATCCTCCAAATGCACCGGTTATTTTCTAGACTTATTTTACATGAAGCCAAAATCTTCAGATTTGAATTATAGATATTTTAATAATCATAAATTAAAAAAAAAATCACTCAGTGCAGCATTTTAAAAGATATTCTCAGATAAAATATTCAAGTGAAATATCCAAACAAAGAAATGAAACAGAAGTAAAAAGCTTTACTGAAATTGATACAAAATGGTAAATCTGTCACCGATTCCAAATTTTTAAATTCCAGGAAGAGGTGCTATCTATATTCAAAATCTGCTTGCAAGTGCACTGCTTGGAGTCAAGAAGACTTAAACATCTTAACTACCCACAAACCTTCCAGAACAGTTAAAACAGATTATTTTAAATTATTTTGTTAACTGCATAAATTCCTTCATAAGTATAATGTTCTCACAACCTTCAACTTTGCAAAACAGATTAAAAAAATATTACAAAACCTCTGTGCAAATTTTTCTTGAAAAGTTATGTTTAAATATATGACTTATGTTGCAATAATAAGTAATCTACTGCAATAAGTTTCATTTACAGAAACAAGCAAAATGACCTTTAAATACAACTAAAACTTTCATTTATACTTACCTTTCATTAACATATAAATGAAACCACCTTTTCAAAGGGCTACCAGGAAAGCTATTTAACTTAAAAGATTTATATAGATTGCAAAAGTTCTTTGGAGAACTAGAATATCAGCAAAACAAAGAAACTTATTTTACATGCTAACAGCAACTTGATCAACTGCATAAAAGACCACCAGATAAAACAGCAGTCTGCCTCAAAGTGGCTACCACAGCAACTGGGTTACATTTAAAGAGACCCTCTCTTTTTTAACCATACTAAAAATCTGTTCCAAGAAGTGTATGTTTCCCACAAAATACAAAAATCAGAAATAACACAATTATACTCACTATTTACATAGTTATAAGTTCCTCTGTGGGTTTCCCACAAAACACATTAGGATTGACATAGTATGATAGAAAAAAAGATTTCACATTTATTTTGACAAATTAAAGAGAAAGTTCAAATTATAGATGTCAGCAAAAGTACCTAGCATTAGACTTTACTTAAGATGTATAAAGCTGTTCTGGAGTAATATCTCAATCCTATAAAATAAAGTTTCAAGTAATAAAAGATTACAACATAGAATTTTACCAAAAAAATGCAAAATAGAAAATAATGTTTTTAAATAGCTCCTTGCTACAATAAATTCCTAGTGAAAGTAACATAATATCAAAGGTCAACTTCAACAAACATCACATTACAGTAGCAAATATCTTTTAAATCTTCAAATTTCCCCAAAGAGTTATTTTAAAGTCATAGATTTTCTAAGTATTGAATACACACCTAACCTTCTGTGCTGGGAACAAGGTGGGAAGAAGACACTTGCACTTAAATCTTGAAGCATCCCGTCCTGATGAACCCAGAGAAACTAATTTCTGCCATCAGAAAAGTCCTCCACCAGAACACCAAATAATGATATGCGCTGCTCTAAAGAGAACAGCAAGCTGGGTTCTGGCTCTAGGAGGTCTCTCGAGGTACAATAATATAAACCTGATCAATTGCAATTAAAATCTGAACAGAGGCTTAGAACTTGAAGTCTTGGTGCATTAGTTCTTGCCAAAAGCAGATGTGATTGTGAGCTGGAAGCAATTTCTCCTGGTAATTTGTGATGACACGGGGTAGTGCAGCCCCAGATTCCCCAAAGACAAACTCATCAGAGGCTCTAATGTATGCATGACACATGAGGTGGCTCTTTTAGAGCTCAATTAATTGGGCTGAACATTAAGACAGCAAGTTCAGGACTTTTTTTTCCTTTCTCGAGTAGCTTTTCCCCTCCTCTTAAAGCATTTTTTTTTTTTTTTTGCCTTACCTTCTGCAAGCCATGTTTCCTGTAATTGACTTAGATCTTGAAAGAGTTCTAAAAAACAAGTCAAAAACATAAAAGATTTACAAGTATTTAGGCTTTACTCAATAAATGTAAATGTTTGTCATAAAATTAACATTAAGTATCAATTTAACTTGGGGAGGTCAATAAAGAAAATAAGATTCAATAACTGAAATATCTTGATAATCTATTCATGTTGATGGCTACTTAGCAATTCTTCGTTAAAAGAAATTCTTTTTGTCAACCAAATAATTTAGTCAATCACCTTCCCCCCCCCTTTATCAGGGGCCCCAAAATAGCACACATACTAGGATACACAAAAAGGCTGCCTCTAACCAAAGTCACTTTTCTTAAATTCAGCTCTTGCTTAAACAGTAATAGATAAGATATGAAAGACTGAAAAACATTTTCCCCTATCTCCTGAATCGGAAATAAAAGATGTAATTCTCAAAGTTAGTATGCCATTCCAGGTTCAACGCCTCAAAACTAAAAAGGAAAACTTTAAAATAAAAGTTTTCTAGAGGAAAAATTTCTGTAAACCATAAAAGGTTTACAGAAGCCAAAGAAAGATAATTCTCTGGCACCTGTTCATTATCAAATCCCAAACTGTATATTCTTGTTATAGTAGGGCAGGGAGGGTGTCCGATAAGTACTAAGATTTGAGGAAGTTTCAGAATTCAATATACCTAATCTACATTGCAAGCTGAGCTCCGATAATTAAATTTAAGTATATTAAGTTGATTATGAATGCTCCATATGGCTGAACTAATTTATAATATATTGACCTCCTACCAACAATTCATAAAAAGAATATGTAACCTCATTTCCCAAATAGGTATTATAATTATTCATTAGGCCTTAATTATGATTCAGTGGACACTGTAAGGCTTATAAAACAATATATTATAACCTCACCATGTAACATCAAAATCATCCATAGAAAGTTTGATAATAGTATATGGTTTGGTAATAGTATATGAAGCAATAATTTATATTGTTTAACTTCTAATAAAACAGAAGGGAAAAAAATCAGCAATGTACAAAGCTGCTTAACTGTCCCACTGTACTGGACATTTTTAAATTGTCATCTTGTGTATGAGATTTTTTACATGGCTTAAGAACTAGGGTTTTTAAACACAAAAGAATGATTTAAAGAAGGATGTCACTATTAAGTTTTTATTTCCTTCTTTCATTAGTTTGTGACAGACTCATATTCTCCAGTGCAAATTCTCACACCTTAATTGTTCCAAGAAAATGTTTTAGCTAAATGCAGTAACTTGAAAGTTTGTTAATTTTAAGGTACGTTTGAAGTGCTCCTCTTTTTATGAGGGTGGGGATTACAGGTAATGAGTGGGAATTCAGCCCAAAATCAAACCTCACCTTCTGAATCATGAGCCAGATCTCTGTTAATGAATTTTCTTTTCCTGACATTTGTTGGTTTCTCGTTACAATTTCTCCCACGCTGATTCTACAAAGGGAAAGATAAAATTCTTTAAAGAATATAAGCCTCAGATGTCTCTCTCTCTCTCTCTCTCTCACACACACACACACACACACACACACATACACACAAACACATGCACACACAAGTATACTGAATCCTCCTTCTGAATAGAAAATAAGTCCATTGCATCAATACCAATAATCTTTTCTGATAATTAAAGAGTTTGATGAGAATTCAACAACCAGGGAGAGTTGCTCCGGATCTAACACTACTACTCATCAGTCACATATTCATGGCATCTCAGCATCAAAACAACATTAAGCAATTAAACTTAAAGTCGTTTTCAGGCTGGACAAACCTACATTAAACTACAGTGAATTGTATTTTCTGTCTAATAACCATCCCCCAAATCAAAAAGAGGTGAAATGAAAAATGAGAAAAAAGAAGAAACAAAACACCCCAAGTCAACAAAAAGTGTCAGCATTTGTCTCAACTTCGTTCTTTTCAATGTGGCAGACAAACCCAGCCAAAAACTTTGAGTGCAGCAGCTGCTGCTGCCCTCCATCTCCTCTTCCACTCATCTTGGGCACTTTAATCAGAAAAAGGGATCTTAAAAACAAAACTATGCCTTATCCAAATCACTGAAAGGTAAGCTCATTTTGAAGACTGGGCTTCTAGAAGCAGAGTCGCCCTACAGTGGCAACAAAGCAGATAAAGTCTCTGCAATCCCAACCCCCTAGCACCCTCCCAGCTCAGTCTCTCCCTCCTCCCCCCTCCTCCTCCCCCCGGAGTCAAGTTTATAAACAGCAACTTTCGAACTGATCACTCACATTGGTGACCACGTAAGGCACTTGCTGGTCATAAAATCCATCCATTCTGCTGCTCTTCGCAATTCTCAGCTCAGTGTTTTATATTTTGAGCATTTAGGCTGGAGATTTCCTCGGGATCTGGACGTCTATCAACCTAGAGGGAACAAGATGGCTTTTAGGCTTAAAAAAAAAATCATGAATGAAGCTCTTGAATTTGCATAGCTAATTACCCTCCGACAGTCCCATTCACAAAAATAACCCTCCCTACACCGCCTCCTTCACCTGGATCCCGAGAGCCAAGAGAGTTCACAATTTACATATTTTCGGCAGTAGAAAAAAAAAAATCCGAACAAGAGGCGATGTATTTATTTACACTCTCGATGTTTCCCTGCGCGGTCGGTGTACCCCGGGCAGCTCTGATTCGCAAACGTGTGCAAAACTAGCAATGGCGATCAACGAGACTTGCTTTGCACCTAACGGGACTAAAGAGACGGAGACACCTCTTTCATAAGGATAGTTTTTGCAACCCACAACCATGCAATTATCTGGAGAGACAAAAAAAGTTGTCGGAAAGACCCACCTGAAGGCCACGCTAGGCGAACGGCTGCAAAAAAATCCCTCCAAATTTAATAAAAACATTAATTATTGCCCAGTACTTCCCCCTTGGAAGCCGAAAGCGCCTCTGACAGAGCTCAATTCGGTGGTTTTTCCTCTACTTCTCCTCCAGGGGCCTCCAATCCAAACTGATGGATCGCTGCCTCCCATTGGCTCCGCGTCTCTTTCACAAGATCAGATTTCGGGCTGTCAATCAGGCAGCTAGCTTCCCCTTCTCTTGGATCTCCCGCGCCCCTTTGCCCAAATCGGTGCTCCGCCGGCTGGCGCGGGGTCCACTATCTAGAAACACCACGGAGGAAATCGACCGCCTTCCTAACCCACTGCTTATTGTTACCGCGCCCGGGGACAATGAGTTTCAAGTCGCCAGGTCTCCTTACTGGTGCTTTTGGTTCACTCTCAGGCTCATTTCCTAAAGCACTTTTGTTCGGTTCAGGTATATACACTGAGGCTGGACCCCAGCCGGTGCCCTCCTTTGCCCGCCTTCATCTTCCTCCCATGAACTCCAGCCCTCCGCCCCCCCCCCCACTTTTAACCTGATGAGGATCCCACCTCGCACTGTAGTCTCGTTCCCACTAACCTTTTGGCCCAAGTTCTTTTCACCTTCAACACCCACCCAGCACCATTATGGTTTTTCGAATGCATTTTAAAAAAGAGTATCCTCAAATGAAACAAGATCCTGTCGGTGGTGGGACGGAACAATCAAAGAATCGATAGGGAAAGCACTTGGACAAGCAGGGAAAGGGATGAGTCGGGAGGAAGACCTGGGAGGACCATAGAACCATCTAGGTGAGGAAGAGTATAAATATCTAACTTGTGCCCGCGTGTGCTCTCGGAGAAGATGCTTCCAGTCCACCGTGGAGGTGGGGAGACGCAGAGAGGGCATGAGGGGGCTCGGATATCCTAGGAACCCGCACGTTTCCTGAGCTTTTGTTATGTATACACGGAGGCGGTGGGTGTCACTTACTGTACTTGACGCTTTCACTTCCTCTCCAGCTTTCAAACTGCCGGAGCTTGGATTTGGGGAAGAGCGGCGAGGGGGCTCAGGTTTCAAGGACAATGACGAGGACGTTAAAAAGGGAGACTACATCTCTGAAATCACTGGCCCTAACCCTCCTGTGGGGATTGAAGCTATAGTCACTTAACAAGCCTTGGCCCAACAGGAGACAGCAGATCACAGGGGTGGGACCAGAAACTCCATAGTGTTAAATTCACTTGTGGTCCTAATGGCAGTCGAATTAGTTACCAAAGGATGTTTCCGGCAGCTGTCCCGCCCGTTGGGAAATGTGCTACAATTCCCCACCTCCATTTGAAAGTTTCCTTCCTTAAATGGAAGGTTAGAGACAAAAATGGAGCGTGAGCGCACAAGACTCGATTCGGACGCAGAGAGTGAACCAGGAGATTCATGTGGAAAAACAATCTAATAAAGTAACTTATTGGGGGGCACACACCGTGCATTCCTTGAAAGTCGTAAATGGGAGTAGCGATCCTAACGCGCTCACCCACTAGCATTTTGAGCGGGAAGTGCACTTTAACCTGGAACTGGGAGGGGTCCGCGGCACAGTCTGTGTCCCCAGGCTAGGATAGTTAAGACTCTTGGGTATTTGCAGAGGGTGAAATCGTGCGGGGGTAGGGTGGAGGGGGTGCTATAGCAAAGATGACTGCCGCCTAACACTCCCGGGATAACCCAGCCCCTGTAATCTGAGCAACAGTTTCCAAAGGCTGCCTCAGAGGCTAGAACCTGACTGGTATCCCGGGTAACCGGGAGAGGGAGGAGCTTCAAATTAGGCCCCCGCGAGGTTCTAGCCGCAGCCAATAACGAACCGTAAATTCCCAACCCATTGTTGTTTATTGCTGACCCCGCAGCGCTCCGCTAGGTGATTGGCCATATTAGAGAAAGGGGCGGAGCGTCTCCCGCCCCTGCAGTTGCCTTTCGCGTCCATTCACAAAATTCCGGTCTTTCTCGGTCATGTGGCTGGGGGCGTGGAGGGGCAGGGGAAATGACACAACAAAGGCCCAAGTTTCCGAGCCATAAAACTTTTTTTCTGCCTGGCTATGGTCCGTCCTTGAACAAATAACCAGGAGATGAGGGGACGGACTAACAGTTGAGATTTTAAAAAGTCCGAAGTTAAAGGATCACACGGGGATAATTCTAGGGTGCTCTGCATAGGGGAAAAGTTTCTGAAGAGGAAAGAAAGACTTGAGAGTTGAGAGAAAAGTTTTCAGGAACGAAAACTTTGCTTGCTGCAAAGTCTCCCAACTGCAAACAGTTCTTTGTAGATATATTTTAGTTGTCTCAGTTATTTTTTTTGTAAGCTTCTTTTAGGACTATTGCAGGCTTTCGCTAGCTGTCAGTTTTAGTTTCCATTTCCTTTCCCTAATTCACAAATCCCCCAAAAGACTACCCGTACTCTGCCACACCGCTGGAATGGCAAACTGAAGAGGCCAGCTCAGCCTTTGATTTTACTAGGTATTATCGGGCTCCACATTTCCACTTTAATTTTTTTTTTAACTAACTCTGAAAATTATGCATGTAAATAAACTGACAGCCACACTTCCCAGAACTCAGGTTTGTTGAAATGACATAAATTGGTTGAGACAAGTATGCCCTTCTAGCAAGGACTCTGTCCCTCTCTCACCACTGTTTCTTCTGTTCATTTACCTTCAGTCCTTTTTGTGCCTTGACATGCAGTGTGACTGCAGATTGCTCTTTATCTTCTATGCTTGACACTGGGAAAAAGCAATAGACCTAGTGCTGAATCCACTGAAAGGGCTGAAAATTTGTTTTACAGAAAATGTTGCCATTATGGAAAATGTCCACAGAGGTAGCTGCTAGGAATGTCAAAAGTTGCACAAAGTTTCCACTACTTTTAAAAGTGCATCTTAAAAAAAAAAAAAAAAAGCTTAGTAAATGCCAGTCCTTGAATGGAAAATTTCATTTTGGCAGGAATTCAGGCATCGAATGGCAGAGCAGAGTCCAAGAGGCTTTGACATTTATTTACTTATATTTTGAAATCCCATCTGGGTTTTGAAATGAGAGCTCTTGAGAGAAAGCCCACCTGCCCTCTGCCCTCCCTTTCCTTCCCCCCTCCCACCCCCCAATCCATTTCTGAGCTTGGAAAGACTTTAACTTGCATATAAAACTATTTAAATCTTTATAGTTCCTTTGCTGTTACTTCATAAAATAACATTCTTCAGGAGCTGTTCTGCTGTTAATTTATCATAGAGTTTTCTTGAAAATGCAGGATGATAAATAAAGCAAATTTCAGAAAACAACAAAATAGGAAACTAAAACGGGGCCACTTGTTTTAAATAATTAATATTAAAATTAAATGCACTTTTTCCAAAATTGTACTGATTGTTAAGTAAAAGAGCACTTACACTTTATCTTATTTAAATACTATATAAGGTAAGTTGTAATGGCCTACTTTGCACAGAGTTGTATTAATAAATAAGGCAAAGATAGACAAATAGCAAAATGGGCAAAGGTAGTAAACAGTGACCATAATTCCAAAGAAAAGGAAACCACTTCCAAATGATGAAAGATTTATAGCTTTAGTAGTCCCTGTGGCAGAGAAGCAAGGATTTGGGAGGAAGGTAGGGACTAGAAAGAAAATAAGGGTGTCAAGAAGGCTGACAGTGCAGGAAGGTTTCAACTTCAAGTCAAAATCCCACCTTTGTCAATGGGTTACTATCTTGCCAGTTCCCCCAAATGGAGGAAAAGCAGCAGCTTACAGAACTGTGCTCTAAAGGATATCTGCACTGGAACTTAAAACATTATTGTACATTTAAAAGTTAAAAAAGTATTTTTAACCCCTCAAGTTGATAAAATTTTCTATTATCTAGGGATGTCATTGTTGGGATAAGAGCACTCACTTATATCACTGAGTATGGACTATGACTTTTTACCCTTTTTTTTTTTTTCAAGATTTATTTATGCTTACAGAACTGGGGTATAGGCCAGTGCAGTTGTGGTGGGAGGATTCACCAGAGACAGAGTGGGGAGCAGAATAGGCAGATTGACTAAGTACACTGCTGAGGGGAGCAGTGGGCGGGTCAGAAGAGGTCTGCCATGCCATGTGGGTCAGCTCCCTGGCCAGGGATCGAACTTGTGCTGCAGTGGCTGCAGAGAGCTTCATAATGTGATGCTCTAACCCACTGA